GCTTTGAAGAGAACTACAATTTTGGATGCAATGGGTTGCTATGTTTTGAGTTTTACAATTGTCATGAGGTTTTAATTTTTTTTTTAAATTGTTTTTAATGTATTGATTTACTTTTGTCTAGTCATGGTGAAAGCTCTCATAAGTAATGAAGGAGTAAGAGATAAATCAAGAAAATTGAGAATGAATTCCTTTCCAGAGATTTCAATTGAAAAAATCTCCCACTGCACACTATCAGGCAAGACTTCCATTGCTAGAAGGGAAATTTTATTTAATTTCATGTTGTATTTTTATACCATTCTCCATGCATGCTAGACACCATTTGATAGTCTCGTCAAAATCCATGTGGGCAATCTGTTGCAGTTGGAGGGATTTAGGCTTGATTAAAGGGAAGTTGAGAAGCCACCTACCCTACTTGGAGTATTATTTAGAATTCAAACCCAAGGCAAATATTCAAAAACATATATGACACTATTTGAAATTGGTACACTGCATAGAGTTTTTGTGTTTGTTTGTTTAAATTTGCATGCTGTTCTGTTTAGACTTGTTATGAGGTGGGTGATGAAATGATTCTCTTGTCTAAGAAGAAAACAAAAGGGGAAGTTCATCTAATAGTAACAAATGGTTCTCTTGTCTTTGATAAAATGGGGTTCTTTTCCAGATTATGGGGTTGACCTAAGACCGAAGCATCTTAGCAGACACTAGAGAGTAATCCCTAGTTACTTAGCCACTACAAAAATCTTCTGGCAAACTCCAAAACATGAAATATTAAAAAATGTTTCGAATGAGAGACTTTTCTTTAGATATATTTATTCTACTAGATCATAGGACATTTAAAAATTAGTCAATTACACTTTACTAGCTTGGTGCCATGTTAGGAAGTCATTGCTCATAGTTTGTATTTCCTTAAATGCTATTCATCAATGAAGGTATAAGTTTGGTGCCACGTTAGGAAGTCATTGCTCATAGTTTGTATTTCCTTAAATGCTATTCATCAATGAAGGGATAAGTTTGTCATCAATATAGGGTAGAATATCAGCTTCCAAATCGCCTTGTTTCTGAAATTACAAAAGAAAACTTGTATAATGCTTTAAAAAATGGCATTATGGTAGAGCATGCAAGTATCAAGTCCTAGTTGTCTGTACCTTAATCTTATCTTTTGAGACCAAAATTTATCTTAGCTATTCTATCAAGTATCAACTTTATCTTATCTTTTGTGTTCATGTATATTTCTTCAAACATCTTATCAACTTATGGATTTGTTTCCTTTTCTTGCAGTAAGTCTTTGCATGAGAATATGGCGGTTTGTTCTGGAAAGCCTCAAAAAAGATCACAGTGAAAGCAGAAATGCTCGTCCACATCTAAGAATTCCCCTGTCATCCAAGGCAATAGATTCTGTGTGCAATCTGCAAAAAGGGATTTGAAGAGGAGAAAGAAAGGAAAAGGAAAGAAAGGAGAGATGAAATAAATTGTACGAACTTGCTTTTTTGTCTGTTTATCTTGGTGGGATGGTCTTTTAATAAACCTCTTTTAGCTTGAGTAGTAACCCATTGTTTGGAGGAGTATTTGGAATGCAAAGTCTCTTCTGGAGGTTGTGCTGCGTTGGCTTATTAGAAATGCAGGTGTATGAAGATTTGGAAAGATAGATGGATTCCAAGGCCTTACTCTTACAAAGCTATTTGTGTTTCCAAAGTCCTCCATGCCGATGCTAAGGCTTTCTCATGACATACTGGTTTGGCACTTTATGTTAAGTTGGCATATCATTTGGAGATGGATTTGTGAATCAGAGAAACACCAGTCAGTTCAGATGGTGGAGTTTTGAAAGGGCGTTTTCAAGGAAGATTTGGCAGCTGAAAATTCTAAACAAAGTGAAACTATTCTCATGGAAAACATGTTCGAATATCTTTCCTGTTCAATCAAAGTTGAAGAGGTGCAAAGTAATTCAATTTGATGACTTCACTATTTTCCTTTTGCTGCACGAGTTTGGTCTTTAAGCTCTCTTTACTCTGTTCTCCATATAGGCCCAGCTCAAAATTTTCTTTTCTTGATTCAGGAGTTTAGCTAACAAATGGATGTGTTGCGTTTGGGATTATTGTTTTTCATTTGCTGAAGTATTTTGAACAATTGCAATGATTGCGTTTTAACTAGAAGAGTCAATCAGCAGAGGATGTTGCTAGGCATGTCGCTGATTACTTACAACACAGCCCAAGATCACTACTCCTGTTCAGCAAAAAGATGTTTCCAGTTGCCAGTTGGAGGGCTTTGATGGAAGGTCTGTTTAAAATCAATTTTGATAGTGCCCTTTTCTAGTTTCAGCTTGTAAAAGTGTATTTTTCTGTATTTTCTCAGTCTATTGTGAAAAAAAATAATAGAAAGGATATGTGGACAGTTTAAATAGCAAATCTACTAACTATTGTTGTTATTACCTTTTTGTTCTCCAAGGCTTTGTTGTTGTGGAAACAAACTTTAGGATGTATTCATAATCATTGTCTAAACCACATTGCAAGATTTTGTGCTCTTCTCAAGCTATGCCACAAATTTGCTTGAAAAGTACTATGGATGCTCTGATTTAAAATAAGGCTTCTTGTCTCTGGAGAGAACTACAAACTTTATATGGAAATGTCATGAGGTTTTTTTTTATTGAATAAATTGATTTACTTTTATGCAGGCATGGTGAAAAATCTCATATGTGATAAAGGAATAAGAGATATATCAAGAAAATGTTTGGAATGAGAGACTTTCCCTTTAGATATATTTATTCTACTAGATTGTTATATATATATGTATATATAAATTGAAGTCATTGCCATTTACCATTTACTAGCTTGGTGCCAAATTAGGATGTCATTGCTCATTGTTGGTATTCGTCTAAATTCTGCCATTCATTGATGGAAGAATCAATTTTTGTGCTAAAAATGCAGGGTAGATTATCAGCTTCCAAATCTTTTTGTAACTGCAATTACAAAGAAACCTTGTACAATGCTTTCAAAGAAAACATGCAAGTATCGATGCCTAGTTGTTTGTAACATCATGTTATCTTTTGGTACATTTTAAGAAATTATTTCATCTTTTAACAGAAGCTAAGACTTTACAGTAATAGCTAATGAAATCATAAACTCTGGTCCTTTACCTGTGTTTTTCTTTAAAAGAGCTTGAACTTGGTTGCTAATTTTATTTTATTTGTTATTAACCAAATTCTCTTGCCTTTTCTGAATGTTTTGTCACAGGAAACAACTATGCCATTGCGAGTGCATGGGACTCTCTTGCATGCGGCCTTGGTTGCTTTGAAAAGGTAGCAGGTATGTTTTATTTGAAGGGTATTGAAACAGGGAAAGGGTATGTTTTATTTGTTTTGTTTTCTTCTTTTGATAAATAGTTTTCTTTTGTTTCCTTTTTTTATTTGGGTGGTTTTTGTTTTTTTGGTTTTCTTGGTATGTATATTTGTGTGTGTGGATGGGTGTGAGGTAGGAGTTGTTGATAATAAGCAGAGTTTTTCAAGTTATAATTAATGGTGAAATCTTGCTTCTGCTTTTTTTTGTTGATCAACATGAAATCTTGCTTTCTTTCAAAGCCCTTAATGGGATGCTCTAAGTTGCTGGAATGTGGATGAGTTGGATGGTTATGTAGGACTAACTTTATGAGTTATATGTAATATGTGGATATTGCTGCTCATTGTGAAGATTATTGTATTTTCTATTAGTTATTTAGGGTAGTTTAGTCTATTAGATTATTAGGGTTTATTTCATTTAGGTTATATATATTGTACTCAATGATTATTCAATAATATATGAAATAGATGTTCTTTGTTATCATGGTATCAGAGCAGGTTCTAAGTCAAACCTCTAGAAGCCCTTGAGTCAACGTCTTCTTCCCTATGATCGTCTGGTTTGATTGAAGGCTTCTAGCGACCAACAGTTCTCTCGCGAATGCCTCTGCCTAGCTTCGAGACCCGACTGCCCTGTCTCGCGCCTACCTCTTCCGTTCTGCTTCATGAATTTCGTTCGTGGTTCTCTCAGTAATTTCGGCTCCAAGTCGTCGATGTCGTTTTTCATTCTTTCGTCAATCGCGACTGCCTGACTCTGCTTTGATTTCTCTCTGGTCGTTCGTGGTTCTGGTCGCTGGGATTGGAACTCTCTCCTTCGCCCTTCCTCATCGTGATCTCTAGCTCACTGTATCTCTGTGACTGGTACTACTCTCTCTCTCTTCTCTTCGCACTTCGTCATCGTGGTCTCTGGTTCAGTGTGTATCTGTGTCTGGTACTATTTGTTATTTGCACTAGGTTGTTTGATTATAGCAATATGGCTAATGATAAATTGCAAGCCATCACGACTAAGTTGGATGGCACAAATTATTCTTATTGGTCTCATGTAATGAAAAATTTTATCATGGGTAAAGGTATGTGGAACTATGTTATTGGTGTAACTACTCGACCATTAGAATCCAAAGAAGCTGAGGCTAATGTTGCTAAATGGGATAAGGAAAATGCACAAATTCTTACTTGGTTTCATAATTCAGTTCAAACCACCATTGGTATGAATTTCTCCAAATATTTTACTTCTAAACAAGTTTGGGACTATTTGAAAACTATGTACCTTGAGTCTAACTTTGCCAAACAGTATGAACTTGAGATGTCCATTCGCAGTGCTAGTCAGAAAGATAAGTCCATTTAGGAATTTTATAATGAGATGACTACTTATTGGGATCAGCTTGCTCTAATGGAACCATCAGATTTGCAGTTACTTGACAGTTATACCAAGTATCGGGAGAAGTAACGTCTTGTTCAGTTTCTTATGGCCCTTCGTGATCAGTTTGAGCCACTTCGGGGCGCTATTCTTCATCAGTCCCCCTTGCCTTCTGTTGATGGTGCTGTCCGTGAGCTTATTGCAGAAGAAACTCACTTTAAGGTGGCTCATGGTACTCCTCATTCCCAATCAGTTTTTGCCACTCCTCCGCTCTTGCCAACCCCACCATCTTCTTTATTTCAAGTTACTGGTAAGTCCAAGCCTCGGGTTTCTATGGATGAGTGTAGCTTCTGTCATCAGAAAGGTCATTGGAAACATGCTTGTCCTAAGCTGGTGCAGCCCAAAGGCCGTTCACCTGGTCCACCATCCTCTAAGCCAACATCTTCGGGATCTCGCTCATCTGCCGCCTTTTCTGCACCAGTTTTTGAGAATGGTCTATCTTCCAATATGCAGTCTATGTTTGAGCAGTTCAAGTCTTTCATGGTGGCCAATCCAACTCTTTCGTCCCAGGCTTCCGCTATGACTACCACTCAATTAGGTTTGTCTGGTTCATCATCCTCAGGTAATATCCACACTTCATGGATCTTTGATTCTGGTTGTTCACATCATATGACCCCTGTTGCATCTCTACTTAGTAATTGTGTCTCCCTTCCTTCTCCTATCACTATTGCTACTGCTAATGGTTCATCTATGCCTGTCTCCTCTATTGGTTCTATTTTCTCTTCCCATTTGTCTCTTTCTCCTGTATTTTATGTACCTCACCTCTCACTTAGTCTTATTTCTATTAGTCAATTATCTGATTCCGGTTTTGACGTTGTTTTCTCTTCCTCTCATTGTGTTGTGCAGGATCGGGTCTCCAAGAGGCAGATTGGGATCGGGCGTAGAGTTGGAGAACTATATATCTTGGACAGCTTACATGTTCCTTTAGATGTGTCTTCTACTGCATTGTCTTCTTTTTGTTTAAACAATAAGTCCTCTTTATTTTATATTTGGCATTCTAGGTTAGGTCATTTGTCGAGTGATCGTTTGAGGATGTTAGTTCAGTCTGGACATTTAGGCCATTTTCCCATTGCTGATATTTCAGAGTGTCGTGGTTGTAAACTGGCTAAAATGTCTACTCTTCCATTTAATAAAAGTAGTTCTATTTCATCTTCTCCTTTTCAATTGGTTCATACTGATGTTTGGGGTCCTTCCCCTATAGTTACTAAGGGAGGTTCGCAATATTATGTATCTTTTGTGGATGATTACAGTCGGTTTACATGGGTTTATTTGATGACACGAAAATCTGATTTTTACAAAATATATTCCAATTTTCACTCCATGATTTGCACTCAATTTTCCACCACCATTAAAGTTCTTCGTTCTGATTTGGGGGGTGAGTATTACTTGTCTGAGTTTGAGGAGTTTTTAGCTACTCATGGTACTATTCATCAGTCTTCTTGTTCAGATACTCCTGCCCAAAATGGTCGCGCTGAGCGCAAACATCGCCATCTCCTTGATACAGCTTGTTCTTTGCTACTCTCATCCTTTGTCCCTTCTGTCTTTTGGGGAGAAGCTGTGCTCACTGCTGCATATCTTCTCAATCGGATGCCTACTCCTCTTCTCTCCGGCTCCTCTCCGTATGAGCGTCTTCTTGGTGTTACTCCCAATTATTCTCTTCTTCGTGTTTTCGGTTCTACATGCTTTGTGCTCCTTCCTAAACGGGCGCGCTCTAAGCTTAGTCCTCGTTGTGTCCTATGTGTCTTTTTAGGGTATGGCATTAATCAGAAAGGTTATCGGTGCTATGATCCTGCCACCAAAAAGCTTTATGTGTCTAGGCATGTCACTTTTTTGGAAAAACTACCCTACTACACTATACCTTCCACCCCTGTCCCTATTAGCAAGGAGGAATTGGTTCACATTGACCCATTTCCTTCTGATGTTTCTTCTGATGAGTTTGTTTCTGATCTTGAGATCTCTACCTTGCCTCCTCCTAGTACCTCTAATATCTCGGCAGCTCCTCCCTCTCCAGCTCCCACTTTCCCTGCTCCTCTTCTTGTTTATCAGCGTCGCAAAGCACTTCCGAGTTCGCCTGTCTCTAGCTCTACTGTCCCTCCAGCTGTTTCTTTGGATCCCGCTCCTCCTGCACGTCGTTTTCCCACACGTGATCGTCGTGCTCCGAACTGGTATGGTTTTGGTAATACATGTTTTTCCCTTTCATATCAGTCTTTTCTTTCTTGTCTTCATACTTATTTTGAGCCTAGGTCCTACAAAGAAGCTTGTCATGATCCCAATTGGATTGCTGCCATGAATGACGAGTTAACTGCTTTAGCTAATACTCAGACTTGGGATTTGTTCCATTACCTACTGGCAAGAATATTGTAGGCTCTAAATGGGTCTATAAGGTCAAAACCCTTTCTGATGGTTCTTTGGAACGATACAAGGCTCGTTTGGTTGCCCAGGGCTTTTCTCAGGAGTATGGGATTGATTACGATGAGACTTTTGCCCCCGTTGCCAAGATGACTACTGTTCGTACTCTTATCTCTGTTGCTGCTGCCCATCACTGGCCTTTGTTTCAACTTGATGTCAAAAATGCCTTTCTGAATGGGCATCTTGCAGAGGAAGTATATATGCGCCCTCCACCGGGTCTCTCACACCCTCCTGGTATGGTTTGTCGTCTTCGCCGTGCTCTCTATGGTCTTAAGCAGTCTCCTCGTGCTTGGTATGAGCGATTTCACTCTGTTGCACTTCAGCTTGGGTTTTGCCCTAGTCATCATGATTGTGCTCTATTTGTTCGGCGTACTTCTGTTGGCCTTGTTCTTCTTCTCTTATATGTGGATGATATGATCATCACAGGCTCTGATTGTAATACTATTAAGGAGGTTAAGCATCAGTTGTTTCAAGAGTTCGAGATGAAAGATTTGGGGTCTCTTCGCTATTTTCTTGGTATTGAGGTTGCTACTTCTCCTACTGGGTATCTTCTTTCTCAGACTAAATATGCCCGTGATATTCTTTCTCGTGCCAATCTTAATTTGAGATTGTAATATTATTATTATTTAATTATTTACTTGATTTGTATATTCAGGTTCTCACAAATAGCTATTGAAATCATAAACTTCGGTCCTTTACTTGTGTTTTTCTTTAAAAGAGCTTGAACTTGGTTGCTAATTTTATTTTATTCGTTATTAACCAAATTCTCTTGCCTTTTCTGGATGTTTTGTCACAGGAAACAACTATGCCATTGCGAGTACATGGGACTCTCTTGCAAGCGGCCTTGGTTGCTTTGAAAAGTTAGCAGGTATGTTTTATTTGAAGGGTATTGAAACAGGGAAAGGGTATGTTTTATTTGTTTTGTTTTCTTCTTTTGATAAATAGTTTTCTTTTGTTTCTTTTTTTTTTTTATTTGGGTGGTTTTTGTTTTTTTGTTTTCTTGGTATGTATATTTGTGTGTGTGTGGATGGGTGTGAGGTGGGAGTTGTTGATAATAAGCAGAGTTTTTCAAGTTATAATTAATGGTGAAATCTTGCTTCTGTTTTTTTTGTTGATCAACGTGAAATCTTGCTTTCTTTCAAAGCCCTTAATGGGATGCTCTAAGCTGCCGGAATGTAGATGAGTTGGATGGTTATGTAGGACTAACTTTATGACTTATATGTAATATGTGGATATTGTTGCTCATATACCAGTCCATGTGTGTTCCACCAAATATATTTTTACATTTTCTATGTTCTCTTAGGTGTAGAACTGAAGTATACAATCCCACCCCTATTTTTGTTCTTACATAAAGCTAGCCATAATTTTTTTGTTACCTACAGAGGCCAATAATAAAAAAAGAAATTTGTTTGTTTGTTTGTTTGTTCTATTAGAATATAACTTGCTTCTTTGAAATTTGAACCATTGTATTTGCAAATAATTTATTTTTTTCAATAGAAAGCACATCCTCATGTTGCAGAAGGAATGCCCTCTGTACCAGAAAATGTTTCTAATCATTTGCAAACCAAAATATTGCTGATTCTATTTAGGTTCAATATTTAGTACATGTTAGCTCCCAATGAAAAGTGAATTAGTTATGGTTTTGTGACTCATCAAGTTCTTGAAGACATATCCTATTTTTCAAATGATTAACATTTACAAAGTTATTTATATCTTAATCTGTTTGACAATGATCTGAAATTCAATTTTCTTTAACATATTAGGTTGTGGATAAGGTTGGGATGACACCATCTCATGTTTATGATGAGTTCCCTTCTGGCATAGGAAGTTTTTGCAGATGCTTGCGACTTTGCATGAGAAAAGATGGTAGTGAAGGCAGAGACACTCATGAAGGGATTTGAATACTTGAAAAAACATACCTTTTTCGATTAGAGGACAGAAAATACCATAAATGAATGAGGAAGCAAGAAAAAAAGAAAAGAAGAAAAGGAGGAAGTAGAGATGTGAGAAAATGTACAAAGTTGTTTTTTGGCTATTCAAAATGCTGCCTTTCACTTTTGTTTTTTTTTTTTTTTCTGTACTTGTATTCACATACTTGTGAACTTCACCACTGGTCTTCCACTTCAAATTGTGAAGTACCAATTGGCACCCACAATCTCAGGAAAGCATAAATTATTGTGAACCTTGGTTTGTCATGCTTCTCTACTAGGTTTGAGGTGATCAAATATATAAAACAGTGTTCCATTTCAATTCTTTTCCCAATAAAATTTGGGTGCATCCATCTTATCTATTCTCCACTCGAATCTTCATACAATCCAAAATGACACAATGATATTAAATTTCTTGAATGTTACCCTACCCATATTTTCTATCATTTTGTGTCTTGTTGGAGTATTGAAGTATTTGTGTCATTTTGGACCAAATTGATACAAATTTAAAAATTAAAGAACTAATGACATATATAGCATTCTTTTCCATTCAACAACTGCATAGTAGGTTTTTTAATATTTTTTTCACCTCTTATTTTGAACAACTAATTTGTAGGTTAGAAAAGACTTGTATAAGTTCGCACAATACTACAAATAGGTTAGCACATATTCTGGTAATGTGCAAAGAACAACACATTTGTCAGCCTCACAAGTAAACTGTAAGTCAGAAAAGACTTGTATAAGTTATCTCCTCTGTCTTTAGTTTCCTCTGATCTTCCCTTTTTTTGTTTGTTTGTTTTGTCCGGTGGATTCATTTTGTGCTTCTTTGCCTCACTTTCCTTCAGTAGGGGTTGGTATGTTAAGATTAATTGTTTGGGCAGTTGAAAGGCAGTAAGGATATTCATGTTGATTTAGCTCCATGGATGTATGACATCTACTTCCTAGCTAAGTCTTTTTAGCTTTGCAGCTTTACTATGGCAAACAATAGCTTCTTCTCTCAAGCTAAGCTCCATCTGGTTTTGCGGCTTCATCTAGAATTCAATCAACTAGCTCCTTGATTTCTGAGATGTTCAGTCTTTTTGCTATTCTACTAGTTGTAGCCTTTGTAGCTCGTGTTTTTCAAGTTTTTGTTCTAAGCTCCATTTTCCTGTTTTGTTTGTAATGTTTAATCTAGTATAATCAGGTTAAACTCTTGTATTTTGTCTATTTTATTAATGAAGTTCTTGAAATGGAATGGACTAATTGTGACATTCTTATGGTTTATTAACCATGTTAGTTATCACAACAATATTGTCAAAAAGGGTTCTCACCAGGAAATTAGGAAATATGGAAAATTTTATTTATAACACCATTCATGCATCTCATACCTACATGGAATACTGTAATTCTTTTTACCACATGAAATTCTGATTTATTCCAATAATTTGGCATTCCATTGATATGGAGATGAGAGATCAACAATTGAAAGCGCAAAAACATTGCCTCGGAACCAGGGGTGCAGTGAAATCATTGCACTGCCCTGCTTCATTGAACTGGTTTTTGCAGTCACCCCTGCAACGATCTCCACCCTTGCAGCGCCAAGTTTTGTGAAATTCTCTTGCTTTCACCATGATCACCATCTTTTCATCTGTATATATTTACAAATGTGAGAAATAAATGGAAAGTCACATATAAAAGTGAGAACACGAATAAAGTGTGTTGAGTGAATTGTCTAGTGGTAGTGTAGGTCTGTGTATTCAACAGACTCTAAGCTACTAGCGTGGTGTGCATGTTAGTAAAGTTGGTGTGTGCTTGTGTATGACAAGAGTGCTTAGTAGTGTGAGAACACAAATTGTGTATCAGGATTTATGTGTGCTATTGTGTACAAGTGTCTTGTGTATTGGTGGATTTATTAATTAAAAAAAAAAATTGTTGATACAAATTCAAAAACAAACCACCATAAGCTAAACTAGTTCTCAAAAATGAATTAAAGATGAACAAGGTTTTTAAATTGAAATAAAAAGGCTTACTAGCAAGGGTTTGAATTTATTACATTTGCAGCTAGCTTCTAATTAAAATGCATGCATGTGTGTGGAAACCGTCATGTTCATTATTATTACCTACTTAATTAGTAAATGAGGATTTCTTTTTCTCTCTCTGTTGTTGTTGTTTTTTTTTTTTTTT